TTTTGTTTTCTACCCAAGTCACATGTCAATTTTTAACAACGTACTCAAAAAGTAAACACATGCCTAAATGGAATTGCGTAACTTTAGGTACAATTCGGTCATAAATCAAAGGCAGAAAAGCATTTTTGACCCATTGATTTTTGGTTAGCCATAAACAAAGGCCACCCTATTACCCCATGATGGGAAGCCAAGGACACAAGTCTTAATCCACACATCTCGAAAACATTGCTAATTAATTTTCAGTAATTTTGTTTTCTACCCGAGTCACATGTCAAATTTTAACAACGTACTAAAAAAGCAAACACATGCTTAAATGGAATTGCGTAACTTTAGGTACAATTCGGTCACAAATCAAAGGCAGTAAAGCATTTTTGACCAACTGATTTTTGGTTAGCCATAAACAAAGGCCACTCTATTACCCCATGATGGGAAGCCAAGGACGCAAGTCTTAATTAACACAGGATTTGAAAATTTTCAATTCATAATTTATGGATTTGGAACTTAACCAAGCTTCTTATATCTGACATACAATCTCTTAGGAATCTATTACAATGATTAATCAACCATAATACATATGATAATATCATGCATGTGCTTTGAATAAAAATAATTAATTATATAATAATATATAATATTATACTTATATTATTTTCACATCTTAATATAAGAGGGATGCATTCAAATAATTGTTTTGAGCAAAAGCGTTTTTTTTTTTTTTTTATTGTCAGTGAGTTTGTTGGACTCTCCACCAAGTGGCTTACAGGGGATCAGCTGGAGACTTTTTTTTTTTTTTTTGTTTATTAACTTCTCGGTATTTGGTAATCACATTGGATCCCGATTAATCTGAAATCAAATCGTGTTGGATCCCATTAAGGGAAAACTCTCTCAACACATGTTTCTCTATTTATAAGACTCCAACTCAAGATCTTATTTAAGAAAAATCAAATTTCTTCCACTTGAATTAACAGTTTGTTGATTTTTTCTTGTTTTTTTTTTAATAAAAGAATTTTTGACTAAATGATTTTGATGTTATTTTTTTATTATTTTTTACAATAAAAATGATTTTGAGATTTTTTTTATATCTATATTAAGATTAATCATTAAAAATCTATCTCCAGATAATTATTTTGAAATTTTATTTAGATGTATGGGTACCTGTACAATACATTGTGGACTTTTTATTACTAAAAATAAGCACAAACAATCACGACTATAGAGATAAAAACAAAGGCATTAGTACATCCAACACAACACGGGAGAAAAATGAGGTGAATATATAGTTAGATCATGTGTCAAC